GCCCGATGCGGGACTCGATCCAGGGACTCCAGGATCATGACCTGAGCCGAAGGCAGTCGCTTAACCAACTGAGCCACCCAGGCGCCCCAATTCAAAATATATTAATCGAAGAGCTATTTTAGTTCAACATACCAGGGGATTTAAAAAAAAACAAAAAGATGACTGAAGAAAGCCCTCTCCTTGAAAAAAAAACGTATATTCCTGTACTGAGTATACTTTTATTCTTAGAACCATAAAATACCAATATGATTACAGACAGTGGTATATTTAGGAAGATTTCATTTAAAAAGGACACACACACACAAATTGGGCTTTAAGAGAATTAGGAATTTTACCGAACAACAAGTAATTTCATCCCTGATATTCAGTCGTCAGAAAGTCCTGTCAAATCTATCTCCTCCCCACCATGTCTCATCTGACTATCGTGGCTGCCAACACAATCTCCCTGCAGGAAGCTTTTGCCCTGACAGTCATCCTCCGCAGCACAGTGTTATTGTTATAAATGGCAGATTTGGTCATGACACTACAGTTTTTATAAACACCTTTAATAAATTTGAACTGACTTCTGTTATAAAAGCACACACTGCTCAGTGTTGTGCTCAAGCGCTTGACTTCACGCCTCTGCCAGCCGTTCCCCGTTCACCCTCAGACACCAGTCTCCTCACACGCCACACTTCACTCACCCCAGACCATGGGCACGCTCTCCTTCTGCCTGTCATATCCTGCCCAGCCTTTCTACCAGCTCAGTTTCATACACCCTTCAACTTCAAATATCTCAGTCGTGACCTACTCCTTTGAATACATTACTTGGGTCTTCACCAATATCCTCAGAGCCTTTTATGTAAACCTATGGTTGTAACAGCTCCCCTCACACTGTCTGGTCTTTATGCATTTGCATATCTGTCTACCTCGAAGCTCCTGTAATAGTAGAGGAGTGCCTTTTCCATGCATTTGTCATAACTGTGCGGCCCTCACAATGTTTAGAACATAAGAGGTACTTAATATATGTTGAATGCATGGAGGAGCAGGTGTTTTAAAGGGGATTTGGAGGACAAACAAGGTCACAAGAGAGGTTAAGTAGGAGCTAAAGGCGAAAAGATAGATGCTGTTGAGGTTAATGAGTAAAAGCCATGAGGTTCTATTTGAGAAAGATTAATTCAACTACAGAGTAAAAGAAGGCCTGAAAAGAGCAAAAGAGAAAGTGTGAATACTAGTTAGCTATTTTTATAGTTCAGACAAGAAACAAAACAACTTGGAAGGCAACAGAAATTGAAGAGAATTATCAGAGTGGACACTCTCTTTGGAGGTAAAGCTCTATACTTTATACTGCAGTGATTTCTTGTGTAAGTAAGTTATTGAATTTTCTTATAAGTGAATCTGACTCTTCCACACATCTTTTTCCTCTCTTTTTATTTTTGGATTAGTGGGAAGATTTGCAGTTGGTTGGGAGAAACAGGTCCTTTAATTTTTGCCTAGAAAGTTGATATTTCACAAAAAGTCAGAAAATCCATTAAAATTGCCATCCCTTCCCATATCTATTATGTAATTTACCTGGAACTATAAAATGTAAAACAGCTCTTAGTGCCTCCAGCTGCACTGATAAGGATGCCTCGTGACTTTTCATAACTGTTATTATTTTGGGGGCCACTGCTGACATCGTATCCAGGGTCGCGTTGCTGGAGATAGAACATCGAAATGCTTATGAAAAGTACAACCTGATTCCACTGTACAAACACCAAGTTGAAACAAGTACAGGAAAACAGAACCATTCTATTTTATCAGAAAAGAGGCTGTATGAAAATGCATTTGCATTCAGTCATATGAGCATACATATTTTAATTATTATTTAATTAAACTCTGGCTTCAAGAAGTAGAATTCATAGCAACCTGGGAATTCTTTTATTTAGTTTCACAAAACACAACTTCCTTCCGACCTACACACGGGTCACTGGCAACAACCCTGAGAAGTAGGTGTTATTGTCAGAAAAGTAGGCATTTTCCAGATGAGGAGTTTAGGCTGACGGAGGTTACGTATCAAGGTCCTATCACTAGAAGGTGAGAGAGTCAGGACTGGCACACCAACCTGTCTGAGCCCTGAGGTCAGGGCGCTTTACTGCATACCCACCTGCCTCTTCCAAATTAACACCCCTGGACTTCCTATTCGGTATTTTTAATCAGTTTAATTTGCATTGAAATCAGTTTCTCTAAGGTGTTATAGCTATTCTTTCTTTGCCATATGAGGAAATGCCACTTGACTAGACTTCAGTGGGTACTACAAACTTTAAAAGAGGTACGCCTGGCTTCAGGTAACAGTGCCCTGTTAACTGAAACCTGGGCCTATCCAAACCTTGTCCTCTCTCTATTCCACAGAAATAGTGTCACTGTTTGGGTTGCTTCATTCTGCTGTTATAATTATGCCCACTTTTGTGCACAAACTTGAGCACAGGGGCTGGAATTTGAGGGGAAGAGTGCTAGTTTGAGCCCTTGGCAATCTGAGGTGAAGGCATGTTGACTTGGCATTTAACAGGTGGTGCGCCTCACATGCTGACTCAGGCAGGAGAGCGGCTGGACTGTGAATTTGGGACCCACAGGCTGATGGCATCGTGTGTGACAGGGACGTGGCTGGTTTTGCTTTTAATTTCTGTTTTTCTGGGAAACTCGATCTCTCCTTCTATTCTAAATATTTGGATAAAAGGAGTGTGCTAGGCTGAGAACATCAACAAGCACATCAAAGAACATACAGCATGATTCTGGTTAGTAAAAAAACAAACCCAGGAAGAATAAAACAAGATGAAATTAGAGAGGGAGACAAACCATAAGAGCCTCTTAAGCCTAGGGAACAAACTGAGGTTTGGTGGAGGGGAGGTAGGTGGGGGGGATGGGGTAGCTGGGTGATGGGCATGAAGGACGGCACGTGATGGAATCAGCACTGGGTGTTATATGCAACTGATGAATCACTGAATCTACCTCTGAAACTAATGATAACACTATATGTTAATTAATTGAATTTAAATTAAAAAAAGGAAACCCCCCCAAAAAAACACCTTGTCCTCGCTTCACATGGTTCTGTGGTCCCTGTAATACAACCCCTCTCGTCCACCTGTAGGTCCCACGTTAAACACATGCCCTCCTTGTAGCTTCCCTTGTTTGTCATTCCACCTCATTCACTCCCCTCTAACTGCTGTGCCCCTCACACATTCCCGCTGTTATATTCTCACCCAGTATCGTGAACTATTTGTGTACACATCAGTCTCCCCCACTGGACAATGAGTTCTTTAGTCACGGGCACGGGGTCCTCATTAACTTGGATCCCCAGGACTAAAACTTTACATATTTTACATATGAGGGAACAGCCAGGAGCACAGATTGCACACAATCTACAGAATCTTAAACTGTAGATTATTCCACCTTGTTTCTGTCTCACTCATAAAGGTTCACACACTCCCAGGACCATGAAAATCGCCATTGGAGATAAACTTTGCACTCAAATATTCAAGGACAACATTTAAATAAAAGAAACATGACTCAAAGATATGATATATATTAACATAAATAGATTAGCTGGACCGATGTTAAAAACAATATGACCCTATTCCTTAAAAGCCTACAGATGTACTACATAGTTGACCATGCCATATTTGTTCATATTTAATAACAGTATTAATGATAATAGCTGTGATTTACTGAATGCTTAAAATGTACAGGCATTATCTTAACTCTGTAAAAATCAACTGATTTAGTACTTACATTATAAACTTACAACTTATGAGATTATTACTATTATCCCTCTTTACCAATGCGTAATCTGATGTTTAAAGATCAAATAGTTGGCTCAAATTAGTTGGAAAGCCAGGACACAAAATAACTTTTTACTGCAACATTTGTGCCACTTACTATTTCTTTTGAAAATTTTGAATTTACTCAGACTACGCCAAAGTTACTTCACATTCTCAGGCCTAACAAAATGCAAAAAGGCACCGAGCCGCCTACGCTGCAGCGAGCACCTTCTGTGTGTAAATCAGTTTTGGTCTTTGAAACAGGTTTTTTTTTTAAGCCAGTAGTTCTGCCTCCCCACACCTACCCCTCCACTCCCCACCCTACCCTGTCATCCACCCCCAGAGCAGAAAGAGAAGACAAAGTTAATTCAAATGAAAGAATAATAATAAATATTAGTTGTGAAAAAAGCAACAATTAGAAGCCACACGCTGATTTTATCTCATATAAATTTCACACATAATAATTCGAAAAACCATTTAAGGTTACATGCTGTATAACTCTGCCAGTTTTCAAAACGTAGTCCATACCAAGCACAGAGTACAAAAGCCAACCTTCACCATGTTTCTATGATCTCTATCATCCTTTTCAATAGTTGGATAAAATAAGTCTGTGGTATCAGTGAGATGAGATTATATTCCACAGTGTTTCAATCTGCATCTGCCTTCTGCTTTTCTTATAATTCTTAGAAATATGTTTGAAATACTGATATTCTACCAGGCCCAAGAGTATATATTTGGCATAAGTCCATGAATCTGTATTACCTTCCTTCAAAGAGATGATTTAGCATTTTACAGCCACTTTCAGCAACTTCAGGAGAATGTATATGCTTCTGCATTAACTCCAATACATTCAGGTATATTCCTTTTGACAACAGGATTTTTCTGAAATTAACTATAAAAATTTTTTAATGTTACTCATAGAAATGAAACAACATTTTCATAATTTCGCAGGAAGACACAGAATGTTAAGATAATCCAAATTCACAGAAAAGTATATACAAGTACTTATGGAAGTTATATTTCATTGTAACTTAAAGATCATTAATGTTTATTTCTTTAAAATATACACCATTTCAAGGTTTTCACATTTATTAACATTTAGGTTGAGGTTTTGATTTTTAAGGTTTTACTCACAGAGTGAGTTGACTGGTACTAATATAATCCCATCCTTGTGAAAGAAGTGTGTCTGCAGAAAAATGTTTTAAAATAATGCTCTCCAAGATAAGAACGAAAGTTACATTTCATTCTAATATTTATAACAGCTTCACAAAATAACTGCACTTACATAGAGCTAAGACTTGCTAGGTATGCTAGACACTAGTGAGCTGTGAATCAGTTACAGGTGCATGCAGATACTGACCACCTCTCAGCTCTTGGGAAGCGGGGGCAGTGGGGTGGGACAAGGCCTGGGACCACGCTGGGCTGCCTTCAGCCTTGAGCTACCTTCTCCATTTATCCCAGGGGACTGTACAAACATTATTCTTTCTATGTATGCCATCATGTGCAAAGGGATAGAAAGCACTTATAGAGAGAATAATTACATAATTTCACAAAGTAATGCCAAAGCTTAAGAAATACAGATATGGGGGTGCCCGGGTGGCTCAGTCAGTTAAGCATCTGCCTTCAGCTCAGGCTCAGGTCATGAACCCAGTGTCCTGGGATCGGGCCCCACGTTGAGCTCCCTGCTCAGCAGGGAGTCTACTTCTCCCTCTCCTTCTCCCTCTACCCCTCCCCCTGCTCGCGCTCTCTCTCTCTCTCTCTCTGTCCCTCTCTCTCTCTCAAATAAATAATTTCTTTTCTTAAAAAAAAACAAATACAGATATTCTTTACAACTGACTTCACACTCTATGTGAGAAAGTAACTATAACCCAACGATTACAGAACATTTTTTTTCTTTGTAATAGACTTCTTTCGCTAAATGCAAATTCATTATCTTGAAGTTTCCATATAAATATCAGTTGTCTTGAAGACTCTATATAAGTATCAATTCCAACATTACACACTGTAATTCAACACTCTGAAAGTGGCAGGAAATGAAACTGAGGAAGTGTTAAGTACCACAGAGGGTCCCAACTTTGGATGGCTCAACTTATGATTTTTCAGCCTTGTGACGGTGTGAAAGTGATACACATACAGTAGAAACCATACTTCAAATTTTCAAATATGTGGTATGATACTCTTTCTTGATATTGGGCAGTGGCAGCGAGCAACAAAATTACGAGTGAATAAACAATACATTTAACAAACACTCTCTACTTCCTCATTCTGTTTTTCACTTTCAGTACACTATTCAATAAATTACATGAGATAGTCAACACTCTAGTATAAAATAGACTTTGTGTTAGATGATTTTGCCCAATTGTAGGCTAATGTAAGTCTTCTGAGCACACTTCAGTTCAGCTAGGCTGAATTACGATGTTCAGTAGTTTAGGTATGTTAAACGCATTTTCAACTTTCAACATTTTCAACCTACAATGGGTTTATCGGACATAACCCCATCCTAAGTCAAGAAAGAGCTGTATTTTGTGTGTGTGTTTTCTTAAGATTTTTTATTTATTTATTTATTGGGGGGGGGATGGTCGGAGGGAGAAGCAGACTCCCTGATGAGTCTGGGGAGCCCGATGCAGAACTCAATCCCAGGACTCCAGGATCATGACCTGAGCCGAAGGCAGTCGCTTAACCAACTGAGCCACCCTCAAATTGGGAAAGGAAGAAATGATAGAAAATAGGGAAAACTCAGAAATAAGTGGAATTGATGTACACATTCTAAAATACTGCCAAAATCTGAAAAACTCATACCTTTCAAAGACACCCAGAATATCACAGATTAAAATACAATAAGTTGGTTATTTTGCTTGGTTATGTCAGAAGTTTTAAGAACCCCTCCTAAAGTGGCTAAATTATAACGTAGGGAATACTTTAAAAGATAGAAGTCCCTCTAGACCGGCCGTTCTCAAACTGCAGAGAGCATCAGTGCCACCTGGAGGGCCTGTTGAAAAAGAGACTGTTGGGTCCCGAACCCAGAGTTTGTGATTCAGCAGGTCTGAATGGGGCCCTAGAATTTACATTTTTAACAAGTTCCCTGGAGATGTTACTGTTCCAGGGACCACAGATTAAGAACCACTGTCCCGGATACTAACTTTTGACTTAAAAATTAAAAATTGAGAATAGAAATTTCATCAAACACTGGACCTAGAAGAAATTACATCATGGAGTCACTTCAGAGTTTATAAAACATTTTAGACATCTTATCTCATTTACCGTATATCTACACAATACCCCTGACCTCTTCCACTCCATTTTAGCAATCAATTACCTGCTTTAAAGAGCCAATAATAATATGCAACTTCCTTCAGCTCTTCAGTCAATATTCACCTTCTTTCCCGGTTGCCTTATCACCATTTTATCTCCTCTGACCCCTAACACATATCCTCCTTCTTTGCTTCATTTTTTTTTTTCATAGCTACCTCACATATCATATATTTTATTTAGCCTTACTATCTGTCTTCCCGTCACTAGAGTTTAAGCTCCCTGAACCTGGGAGTATTCTATTTAACTGATATATCCCAAGTGCCTAGATCATTGTCTGGCAGTAGCTCAATAAACATTAACTGAATTAATTGATTAAGTGAGGAAAACGTCACATAGGATGTTCAAGCTTTGGCCTGGGTAACACCATGGCAGAAACCAGTTCTTCTGCCTGCCAGTCCAGTCATTTTTCTAGAAAACCACATCCAGCCCTGCATACCCAATGTTTCCAAGTGTCTTTCAATGAGAAGTTGCCTACAGAGGTTGGTGACCGAGCTGCTCAGTTCTTAATATTCTCCTGTGGCAGAACTCCAAGAACAATATAAGGGATCTGAGTACAGTTTACCCAGGAGGTGGCCAAGAACAAAGAGGTAAGGAATCAGGAAGAGCAGGGCACTGATTCTGAACAAAGAAATCAAGGTTGACTCCAAATGTAACTAATCCTCAAACACTAGTTATTTTGTTGGCATATCAAAGATTTCCACGGGGTAAAAAACTACAGCACCAACACAATATGTGTACATGGTCAAGGTTGCTCTTCTCTCCTAGATGTGTCACACAAAAGCAACCAAGTCTGGTCCTCATTTTCAGGAATGAAGTCCTATCCAGGCCTCAGCACAGTAGAAGATGGGAGATTTAAGGACAGCAATTCCCTTTTCTACCACTCCTACTCTGACTCATCCTCCCAGAGGGCAACCCCTGTCTGTCTGTAAGGGCTCTTGCCCACTCAAGTGTTTTATTAAAGTGCATCTGAGAGGTAGAGTGAGAAAGGAGGAAAAGGAAGAAGAAATTATTTTCCTCATGATTTGACTTAAATAACAGCATTGAGAAACATGCATGGAGTGGTTTCTTGATTCCTTTCACTCTATGCAGGTTCTCTACTAACAGGTGGTGCTAGCATTGGTCTTTGTTTCTGGCTTTGTGTGTTTTTCTCTCTTTTGCTCCCTCCAAAAATATCCTGCAAGACCTGCCAAGTCCCAATGCCTTTCTGATGAGTTTTCTCCCAAGATTTTCTGGCAGTATTTCCTGTTCATGGGGGCCTGGAATCTGAACAGCCAGAGCCTCAATTTTAAAACTCAGAATCTTTCCAAAGATATAATAGCCATTTTTGTCTCCTTAATAATGGAAAGCTATAAGACTTACACGTAAAGGACAATTTTACCAGATTTTAAAATGGTGAATATCTCTCCACCCACTGCATTATCTAGAAAGTGTTCCTTAAAAAAATAACAGGAACAGTATATTAAAGAAAATGGAAAAAAGTGACCATTTGGTACCAAAAAAAAAAAAAAATCCCACTCAACACAAGGTAAAAGTCCATCAACAAGAAACTGGTTCATAAAATAGGATCTAGGTGTACACTGGGAAACTACATGGCCATTAAAAATGTAAATATGAAATTTTACATTTATCAGCACCAAAAATGAAACATGTAAAATCTGCTTTTAAAATTATTGATATTATCCCATTTTGGCAAAAAATAGAAAATATATAGTATATGTCACATGTGAGTACACACATAGAAATTCAGGAAAAAAATCAAAATGTTTATTTTCTTCTTTATCCTTTTGCCTATATATAAATATCTCTATATATCAGATACATAGATCTACATATTTGAATTTTTATAACATATTGTCTTTATAATTAAAACAATACAAAGTGTGTTTCCTCGTATTAAAAAATGGTGCACCCCTTACCATTTTGTTCTAACAGAGTTGACAATGCATTTGCAGATGCCTGGAAGACTTCTTTTGATGAAGAATGCATCAGCATGGAGAGCATCACTTCCCTATGAGCTGGGAACCTTTCACAAATTCAATCACAATATTACTGGTAATCTTTTTAATAATTAGTTCAAATATTCATGTATCATTATCTAATCTCTCTAACAACAAATAAAGGCTTATAAACATTTCATGCCACCTCCACTTACAAGAGTGAATTATAGTTAAACAGTTTTATATTTAAAAGATAGTTCAAATCCACTAAATACTAATAAATCAGTATTTCTCTGTTTCTTCAAAGTTGATAAGCAGTAGGGGGGGAAAGACTCAGCAAATATATAAGGAGGTAGTAAGAGTAAAAAGATAAAGTGAGAAAAAGAAGATAATGGAAACAAGAAAAAAAATGAAAATCATAAAGGAGTATCATGAGTTTTAAAAGTGTAGAACATAATATATTTTCTTTTAATAGTATATTTATTTTAAAGTTCTCTTATGGATATTGAGGAATGAGTGTGCTATGAGCTGAAATTTATAAACTGCACCATGAACCTAACCTCTTAAAAAGACTACTCAAAGTGGATTAGGATGCTGGTTTAACATACAGTTTTCAAAAGAATTAGTTTCCTTTCAAAATGGAGATGTATAATTAAATGGCATCTGTGTTATTAATTCTCTCCTGGTTGGCAATGGATCATGATACAAACAGATTTTCAGGATTAGAGATATAGTCTATAGAGATATAGACTATTACTATTTAAGTTTCCAAGATAAGTCATTCAAAAGTCATCAAAAGCAAGAGCATACCCAGAGCAAACATAAGCATTTCCATAAAGCACAAAGGCTCATGGGCATGAAACAACTCTGATAGACACAAAACTCCTGTTTACAGTTTGTGTCTTTGAGAAAGAGGACTGGTCTTATGAAGCTTGAATTACACTCCTGCAGAATGCCTCCTCAAGAGCTGACACCTACAAATAACCCTCTCAGGAGAACACAGGCCAACAATGCCACATCAAGTGAGGAATCACTAAGGAGGCCTCTGACCACATTGCATTCACGATACTGACAACCTGCTAACTAGTCACGGCAACAGAGAAGGTCACAGATGACTCTGCCATCTCTGTCACCTGAGATTAATTAACATAGCATTTTTAAATGATCAGCTAGAAAATTGAAAGTTCTTTTCTCAATGATTCATAATTTCTGAATGACTCTTGATTCCAAATTATTGGGCAATAACTCTCAAACACATCAGGGATCAAAATATTATATACACTCTACTATTTTGTGGCAGCACTTGAAACATATATGCCTATATCAAAAATATTTCTAACAATAAAAGTTACACAGTATTTTATATGGATCGATTAAAAATGTAATTAAAATTTTCTATCATATAAAATCAAAGCTACTGACTGGCCATCTTCATCTCCAATCTTCTCATGTAAACTGTTTTGGTACATAAGGAGATTGTTAAGGGCCCAGCATGCAGCTTCCTGGATCAGGGGAGAAAAAAGAAACCTGTCAAAACATAAATTAATGAACAAACATAATTTTGAATAACTATAATATTTATGAAAGAGTACAACCTGCACATGCTTATTCTTTCTATGCCATGTTAATGCTTTGTAACAGGCTTCCAACCAGAACAATTTATCTTCTTCCTCATCATCAGTCTCCGAATTCTCATTCTTTTCCTCTAAATCTTGATTTAAGAAAATGGTCTCAGCTTGAAAAAATATAAATATATGACTTACTTACAGTTTGAATGACCAACATGAAGTCCATATTTTGAAACATTATGAAAAAGTGAGGTATTCCTTAGTTGTGGCCTTAGTTCATTATAAAGACTTTTTTAAATATATTACACACCTCAGAATACTGCTATTCCATCAAATGAGGAAGAGAGTACCAAACAAACCTAATAGATTAGAGGAAGATTAACTGAGATTAGCTGCCCAATAACAAAGCTAAATCAAGGATGTATTTACTCATGTACGAAGCGGGAATGGTATAATTATCACAACTGTTAGTTTCCTTGAAAGTATCTTCTATTAGAAAATGAATTACATTAGGACAGAAAAGCCAATTAATGATACCTTCTCTACATATGACCTTCTTGTTATAACGATGTCTTGTTATAATGTTCACATTCAAGATCAAATGCAGCTATAAAAATTTCCTTTTGAGTACAGTTACTTACTGAGGAGCGCTAAACAGCTGAGTGCTGCAATCTGTAACGTGGCGTTCTCTGAATATCGCCGCACGGCTTTCACCACAAACTCATGTACCTCATTTAATACCAGAATATTAAAAAAATTACCTAAAAGGTAAGTGAGATACTAGCTGAATTCTCATCCATGGAACTTAAATTACCTTGAGTTATACAACAGTATTTATATCAATAAATATGAAGAGTGAATACTTTAATGACATTAAGATATATATTAATTTAATTAAAATAGCTTAATATAATTGCATAAAGGTTTGAAAATTTATTTCATGAAGTCATTTAATTATCTTACTTAGACAAAGGAACTGACTGAGCAAAAATAGTGGTATGTTTGGGTTACATTAATTTTGTGTTCTTTCACTCCCTCTCATGTCACTATCATATAAAACAATGAGGTATCTGTTATGCATGGCTTTTGTACAAAACAGCTTGATTTTCTAAAGATGAGGGAGAAAACCTCCCTTGTGATTAAATGCTTTTGCCGAACCCTTCTTTCTCTTAAAGGAATGCTGCTCAGAAAACTCATTAGCATGCATCATTTACTTGATCTTATCTGTGATGATCTTAGAAAAAAAAAAAAATAAGAGAATATTTCACCCCCTCTAACCCAAACCAGGAAGAAGTCTCACCCCTTTCTACATTCACTTTTCTGAGAATCAACACATCATCCAAAAATCTAAATCCTTATGAGGAAGGAATTTGTAAATGATATTCCACATGTATGTGCCTCCTTCCATTTAAGCTTATTTGTAACTCTCTAACAGTCACCAGTTTCCTTCTAGAAGTAAGAATGAGGGGCGCCTGGGTGGCTCAGTTATGATCAGGTCATGATCTGGGATCAAGACCTTTGTCAGCTCCCTGCTCAGCGGGGAGTCTGCTTCGCCCTCTCCCTCTGCCTCTTCCGCAGCTCCTGCACTCACTCTCTCTCTCTCTCTCTCTCTCTTAAATAAATAAATAAAATCTTTAAAAAAAGAAGAAGAAGAAAAGTCCTATTTAGCTACAAGTGTAATTAAATGAACCCTGAGACACAAAGCCAGGATTGGAAAAGATCCTATATTATGAAAAGCCTAAAGCCCACACTAAATATTAATCAACGGCTTCAAAATCAAAAGGCAGTTTAATTAGGTATAGCTCTTCTCTGGGGCACCTGGCTGGCTCAGTCAGTTAAGCATCTGCCTTCGGCTCAGGTCATGATCCCAGGGTCCTGGGATTGAGTCCCGCATCGGGCTCCCTGCTCAGCGGGGAGCCTGCTTCTCCCTCTCCCTCTGCTGTGCCCTTTGCTTGTGCTCTCTCTCTCTCTGTCAAATAAATAAACAAAAATCTTTAAAAAAAAAGTTAGGTATAGCTCTTCTTTATCAACACCTTCTTATGTTCTTGCCTCTTTCACATTCCCCCACTAAGCAGACATACTCCCTGCCCTTAGAGGTCTGTAGTCTTGGAAAGTCATTTCAGAGGATTCTCTTCTACTTTTACCAACTTATCTAAACTTGGGTTGTCCCTTCACCTTCTTTTTCCCTACCATGCCACTGCCAACAACCACTCTACCATTGACCAACTGTGTGACTCTGGGCAAATACCAGTGAGACCGGCCTTCTCTTACTTTCAGACAATTTATATGAAAATACATAGCAAATTATATAAGGCCTTTAAATGCATTAACCCCATAATTAGGTTACATAATTTGACAAAATGCTAAATAATTAGTCATTGACTTTGGGTTTTTATTTTAACTAGGAAGAGAAAGTTAAACTTCTTCTGGAACAGTAACAAGGCAATAAATTCTCTAGCCACGAAATGGGACAGATAATAATCTGTTAAGAGATAAATGAGGAAGAAAAGAAAAGCATCCTTATCTGAAGATCGAGTTAATGGCTTTTTAATACTGGATGGTGTTAACTCTATAGAGAAAGCAGGGAAAAGAAGTAGCCTGGAGTAGCTTTACCAGCACTGGTAATGACTTAAGTTGGTTGGGGCATTCTTCTGCTTTGTGCTTCACATTTTCTACATGTTATGCTTATTCTTTTGTATGTACCAACTATTGATATAGTTATACTTTAAATATACCACTAACAATAAGATGAGACTTCTCTTTCATTATGCACATCAATTTTTGCCACTGCTTTTAAAATTCTAACCATGGCAGAACAGTTTGCTATTTTACAATATTTCTATCCAATGTATGTCAATATGCTACTTATCAACACACAACATACATATGCTATATATATTTGCATCATATAGACCACGATAATAAGTTAACCAAGAATTATAACTCACCTAGTGTAAGCCTATGGAGCAAGCAACAACTCACTTCTTGAATTTTTTCATTGACAGGGAATGCTTTCATGGCTTCTACCACAATGTTGTAACACCTGACGTTGCCACTCATGAGGACTTCAACATTATTGCCTAAATTTAAAGAAATAATAATTATCCAAAGGTAATAAAAGGTAACAATTTCCCACTTGAAATATACATACAAAAACATCTTGTACATTTTGTGAATATATGCCAGCAAAAAGGCTATACTTCCAAATTTAAATATCATGTTCTGTCAAATAGCTGTAAAAAACACTATGTTCATTGCTCATATAATAGGATTTAGACTCTTCTTTAGCATTAAGGGGAAATTGCTTTACTCCTGCTTCTTCACTTACAAACAAAATAAAGGGATAATTGAGAGTGCTTTTATGTAAGCCTAAAAATGTAATGTCTTGGCCATAAGTTTTCAAATAAATGCGTTTGGGGCCTATTTCCTAATGAGGCACTAACTCCATTGGATAACGCCTTTTACATTGTTCCTTTTTCTCAAACCAGCAGAAGGAAAATCAACATCTTGTCACATAACAGTTCAGCTAAAATCAACTATGACTTATTTCCTGCCCATTCCAGAAGGGCAGCAGAAAAGCAGACGTGTCCTGGGCATCAAATTCAAGGTTCCTGAGGCTCTGAGATAGAAGGGGAGAAGTAGGGGGCGGGAAGCAGGGCACAGATGACTAAGGGACAAACACAGGTGAACCAGAAAGAAAGGAAGGAATCTACTGGGAAAGGCAGTCAGTCAACAGAAAGAGTGAGTATATGAACCCACGTGGAGAAAACAAATTTGCATTTCTGAATGAAATGTTGACTATTATTAAAACAAACCAAAAAAAAAAAAAAGGTGTTTGCAAAACATTTTTCTGTGTTTTTTGGCATAACCAAACTAACCAACTGTTTCTCCAAAAATATATTTTTAATGTTTAAGTTGTATTTTAAGGAGCATTGAATATAGGAAAACATGTTCTGATAAAAGGAAATGGCTTCTGAGAATAATTATCTGCTTTTACTCAGAATAGCAGACATGATTTGCCCTAAGACTCAGAAGCAAACATCTTTCAATTAGAATCAGTGTTTAAAACATTTCTTTTTCTTATTTTTAGTTGCTACTTTCTTTGACCTTTGCATTCTGAATCAACACATTCTTCACTGCAGTTATGTCAGATGGGGCTGGAAAACAATGAATTTCAAAGCACCCAGCCCAAAACAAATAAATAAATGTATAAATATAACTGAGGAAAGGTAAAATGAAAAATATATTTGGTTTGTTGACAGTGGATGACTCAGAAATTTTGAAGTATGTCCATTCTCTATTATAGTGCAATTCCATCTACTTTCAAATGTTCAATTTCCCATGGATAAGAAAATGATGGATTTTATGACAATCATAAGAAAGAGCATCCTTTCACAGTGGGATCGGGTTTTTACTGAAGACTCACATCAGATTTCCATGTCTGAAACCATGTTGCATATTATATATACCATACTACAGTACACATGTAGGAAATATAAATTATGTAATAACACTGTCGATATTTTTACACTTACTACATACCAGGTACTAGTCTGCATTTTTCAAGTTATTTAACCATTTAATCCTCACAACTTCGCATGTGTGAAGATGAAAACATCACTAGATAAATGCATGTGTATATCCTGCATGAAATGCTCATGTGCACTTACAAAACAAAAGTAGTAGATTCGGGAGCATGATTTTAGCCCGTTAGCAGTCACTGGTAATATACACAGCAAACTAATTTCTTCTTATTTGTACTTTTTTTGTGATACAAGTGCCTAGATTTCAAAGCATCAAGAAAATGCTAAACAAGAATCATTATAAAGTTCAAACTTCATCCTGTGGCTTTTCAAGCCTTTCAAGATCTGCTTATGTTTCCAGCTTCATCACACTGACTCTTATCAAGCCCTGCCCCCCACCTCCCTTAAATAACACAAAGGCAGACACTCAGGGCTGGACATATGCATAGGTGTGCATGCATACACACACGCACATACACACACAAACACACACTCTTAAGTACACAGTTTACTGAACTACTTTTATCTTCTTTTTAAATTAATTATTATTTCTTTTAATTTAAATTCAATTAATTAACCTATAGTGTATTATTAGTTTCAGAGGTAGAGTTCAGTGATTCATCAGTTGTATATAACACCCAGTACTCATTACACGGGCGCTCCTTAATGTCCATCACCCAGTTACCCCATCGCCCCACCCACCTCCCCTCCAGCAACCCTCAGTTTGTTTCCTATGATTAAGAGTCTCTTAGGATTTGTCTCCCTCTCAGATTTTGTCTTGTTTTATTTTTCCCTTCCTTTCCCTATGATCTTCTGTTTTGTTTCTTAAATTCCACATATGAGTGAGATCATATGATAATTGTCTTTCTCTGATTGACTCATTTCACTTAGCATAATTCCCTCTAGTTCCCTCCACGTCATTGCAAATGGCAAGATTTCTTTTTGTGTGTGTGGCTACGTAGTATTCCATTGTATAGATATACCACATCTTCTTTATCCATTCATCTGTTGATGGACATCTGGGCTCTTTCCACAGTTTAGCTATTGTGGACATTGCTGCCATAAACATTGGGGTGCACATACCCCTTCAGATCACTACATTTGTATCTTTGGGGTAAATACCTAGTAGTGCAATTGCTGAGTCATAGGGTGGCTCTATTTTCAACTTTCTGAGGAACCTCCATACTGTTTTCCAGAGTGGCTGCACCAGCTGCATTCCCACCAACAGTGTAGGAGGGCTCCCCTTTCTCCGCATCCCCGTCAACATCTGTCGTTTCCTGACTTGTTAATTTTAGCCATTCTGACTGGTGTGAGGTGGTATCTCATTGTGGTTTTGATTTGTATTTCCCTGATGCCAAGGGATGTGGAGCACTTTTTCATGTTTCTGTTGGCCATTTGTATGGCTTCTTTGGAGAAATGTTTCTTCATGTCTTCTGCCCATTTCTTGATTGGATTATTTGTTCTTTGGGTGTCAAGTTTGATAAGTTCTTTATAGCTTTTGGACACTAGCTACTTTCATCTTCTTGAATGCACTATGCTTTCTCTTGCTCCAGGATCCTGACACTTAACGATGTTCACTGCCTGAGACACTCTGCCTGCACTTCACCTCAGACATCCCTACACACAAAGCTCTCATCATTAAAGTCTCTACTAAGAGACTTTGCCTCCCTTCTTGTTTTTCTCATAACCCCAGGTACTTCTGCCAATACCTGCCTTATAATACACTGTAATCACCTATATTATCTATATCTGGCATGGTACCATGGGCTCTGAGGAGGCAAGAAACATGCCTACATTTTCTGCTACTGTTTCCCAGCACCAAGTGTTGAGTCAGCTGCAGTACAGTATCAATAAATAAAAAATAATTAAATTAATAAATAAATAAACAGGATTCCCATCTGCAAGTTTCTACATAATAAAAAATATTTTTAAATGCACTCAGAAAGGACATAAATTGTAATTTTTCATATACAAAAAAGAAATCATGCACATGGGGTACTTACAAGGAATTGCTAGGGAATGTAAACAGTGCAGGACATGAAACACAATTTCCTCTTCATCTTTAAAATTTTTTAATGCATTGAGCAAGATCATATAATCTTTATTCTCAACAAATTCAGTCAGCTGCTCCTCTGAAACTAGAAAAATGAAAGACAAAATACTGAAAAAGCTTAAAGATGATATAAATTTTAATTACTTAAAAATATAATATTCAGGGCGCCTGGGTGGCTCAGTCGTTAAGCGTCTGCCTTCGGCTCAGGTCATGATCCCGGGGTCCCGGGATCGAGTCCCACATCGGGCTCCCTGCTCCGCGGGAAGCCTGCTTCTCCCTCTCCCACTCTCCCTGCTTGTGTTCCTGCTCTCGCTATCTCTCTCTGTCAAATA